AGGTGTTCGCCTGCCCTATTACCTCACCAATGACAACCTCTCCCCCGTCAGTTTAAGTCTCAACCTGATCGTAGGGCGTTCTCCTGGAAGTGATTTGTCACTCCACATAATTAAAAAAAAAACACAGGAGAGACAGACAGTGACCTGCCGTCCCAGCCACTTCCTGTTGCATACACGCATCACATGCTGCTGATGTAGCAGCAGAGTGGGGCCACACCACTTCCTGCGCCTATAATTACAACCAGTTTGAAGTGCATCTCAAAACACACAGGAAATAATTCAAGAACAGTTAACATGAGATAAGTGTCAAATGTATTAAACTCTTTCTTCAGATAGAACTCAACACACAGTAGGTTGTATTGTTATTAACTACAGAACCACACCCCACCTGTACTGTAAGCCAAAAATATATTTTGCAATGCTAAATATAAAAAAAAAATCCAATTATTTGAATGATAGTAACATACAACCTAAAATTTCAGCAACAAATTAAATTGAAAATTCCTTGTCGAACTTATTTTATAAGTCCTTACACAAAATAATAAAAGTCTGTCAAATTTAAGATTATGTGCTCATATTAACACATATTTACAAAACAACGCACATGAGTGCCATCTAAGCTCTTTGGGAGTACAGTAAAGAAGAAGGAGGAGCACAGACAACATGTTTACCTTACTGCATACTGTTGGTATTCCATACTGCAAAGAGATACTTGTCTAAATGACAACATGTTACTAAAATACTAACAAGTAAGTGAAGACGTCATATTTGTAACTGGAAAAGAAGAGAACATTCTAACTAATTTCACATCTGAAGTTTACAGAAGCCTGGATTTAGAACCGAACAATGATAGAAAACAAAATCCACCCTACTCCACTGTAACGACTAGTTTAGTCAGTATGTTTAAACTTTGCAGACAGGAGTTCGTATAAGGTACCTCGAACAGCAAACAGAACTGAAATTCCAGTTGTGATTCTTGTCAGAGGCAAATTAAGGGTTGAGAAATGTATTACATAACCACTGCACTAACAGTTATCGGTCACATCTCTAAATAACATGACATTGATACTCCCAGGTGTCAAGTTTACAACCCCTCCCCCCCCCCCAAAAAAAAAAAAAAAAAAAAAGTCAAAAAAAAAAACAAAAAGAAGAGTTTGGGG